CTCGTTAGGAGCACAATTAAAATTGCCCCCCCCCCAACATTAAAATCTCACTTCTCCAACAATGTGCTAAAAGAGCACCCAAGCTCTGAGAAAACCCACACACCTGGTCTTTCCCTACAGTACCAGCACAGACTGTCCGGGATCTTGTTGCAGCAGGGTCCACTCACTGGGCACAGCTAACCTGGCAGAGTGTGACTGATTGATTGCACTTCCTGACGGGTAAAGGGGTGGAACTAGCTACTACATCACCCAGCAGCAGTCGGAGCTCGTTGGAAGCTCAATACGTTCCACTCCTGCAGCTGCATTTGGTCCTGCTTCTTGCTTTCTGCTTCTCACCAGTCTGCTCTTGGGCCCAGCTGCCTGCTTCAGTTCCTTTCCTTCTCCATCTTTGCAACCCCTGGCTCAGCTTCCTGACCATACTTCCGGCGCACCCACTCTGGCTTTCAGCTTTTTATCCCTGGTTTCACCCTTGGCTCTGAGAGATGTATGGAACAGATATGTGTTTGAATGATTAATAGCTACTTGTTCCTTCTGGCCCTCAGAAAAATAGAAAAGTCCGCCTCCGTTTATCGCAAAATAGGATCCACCTAAGAAGTAAAGACCGCAAGAAAATGGTTCATATTATATGACACATCTTGTCTAAGAACCCATAGATCAGCCAAGGTTGGGATTTCCTCTCCCCAAGAATAGAAACTAAAATGTCTAAATGAGAGTACTGTTAATCAGCTAGGCAAGAATATCTCATAATTTGCTCATGTATAAACCTCTTTCTCCCTCCCAGCCTAGCTAAAAAGAACTCCAAGTTACCAAGCAAGGGTCACACCCTGCTTGCCTATGCAAAATGTTTTCACCCCAAAGAATAAACTATACATTGTTTTCCTTGTAAATCAAATATGCTGTGAATCATCTCTTTCCCCCCCAAATTAAAATCCGCACCTTTGTCAGCGTTGTGATTCTGAATCAGATCTACATCCTTCCGTATGTGGAAAATGTCTCTTGTTCTGTTGTACGTCCTAAATAAGGTGAAATGCTTATGTACAATCAAAGAATGTATGGAGTATGTCCTCTAAATTTAGAAGAGTATAAAGGTTTTGTTGGTTTTCATTGTAAATGTTGCTCTCTAAGAATTGTCTGGCACAAGGAAGAAGAAATATAAAAAGATATAAACCATGGTATAACTTTGGGATATTAAGAGAAATTGCTTAGAAGGGGCTGTCCCAATCCATAGGAGGGGTTAATGATGAAATACAATCCTTGAAATGAATCAAATGTATAAAGCCTCTGATTAAAAAAAAGTATTGAAGTAAATTGTGATATACTGACGCCACCAACTGGATACCAATGGAGGCAGCAAAGAAAAACCCTAAGCACTCATTTGACCTGAGTCCAGTAGGAATGTGTGTGTGGCCCTTTCCTATGAGCCCTGAAACTAGGCTATATAAACTGAAGTCACAATGTGCTAAAGAGAGTTGGCTGAACCCAACAAGAAAGTGAAAAATTCCTAAGTATGACTCACTCCCGGACAAGACGTGTGGAAAGAACTCTTCCTCCAGCCCAGGGTTATATGGATAAGAAGTGGTGAGATTGAATTTCAAGGATTGCATTTCCCCTTCTGTTCTTTCATATAAATTACTGAGAGTTATCTTGCTGAGCCTGTGCTCTCTAGTGAGATGTCAAGTAATCATATTTTAACTTCTTTGTTAAGCCCAAGCAAATTGGCCTAAACGATTGAAAAGAATTGTGTTTAGCAATTGTTTTTAATACTCTAAACTTGTCTCTTTCGGACTAGTCCAGTCAAACTGTACTAACCACACTCTTCAAAGTGCCTTGCAGACAAGTGCACCCTGGGAAGTGTGATAAATGTGTTAGGAATTTAGAATTGACGGTCACAAGTCAATGTAATCAGAAATCTTGGTACTTTGTTACTTGATATAACTGCTGAGCCTCAATGCTAGCAAGACTGTTGTGTGTGTTGTATACACCTAGCACTTTGGTTGTTTCTGCACTTTGGTGGTGAACTGCTGATTGTATATTGATGTGACTCTGGGTGAATTAATAAATGGTTGTTTGGTTGAGGATAAGCATGTGTCCTGATGTGAGAAACACAGTTCAACTTAAAAATGGACCTGAAAAGAACCCATCATTAAAACTAGTAAGCTAATGTTCCCTGGACTGAATACAAGGGATTCTGTTGGATATATATATATATAGGCCGAGTTTGTTAGGTTTCAGCTTTGAAATCTATCCGGCACCCTGGCAAATTCATACATTGACTCCTTTTCATGCTTACAGCTCTGCTCTTGACTATGACCCCACGTGCCCTGTGGTCCTGATTCTTGTCTCCAGCTTGATTCCACTCTCCCCTCCAGGTGCCTGGTCATCCTCATGGTTCTGACCTTTAGACACAACCACCCACAACCTGATTGTGATCCTGCCAGTTTGAGCCACCCAAGAGAGAAAACCGGAGACCTGATTGGCTGAGAAATTGGCCTCCAGTAAGGCCTTCCTCTTCTTCTCAGAGGTAATGGATACCTTTCAGAGGCTGCCACCCCAGACTGAGGCCTCACTACCCAGAGCCCAGGTCACTCAGGAACTAAAGATTCTGCTGCTGGCCAAGTTAGACAGCGACCACAGGGAATTTCACGGCTTCCTGAATCAGGGCGGGCTCCTGTTCATGTTACGACCCTGTTCATTTCCCAGTGACTAGGCCCAAGTGGGGTTCATAATCAGCCTATTAGTGAGGGAAGCCCTAGTCTGGGTGTTTCCACCCACTAGAACTTCCAGCTCCTTGCCGGGGCATCTTGAGGAATTCAGCTGAGACGTGGTGGCTGTCTTCAATGACCCAAATTGCACCCATTCTGCTGAGAACACACTTCAGGACTTACGCCAGGGGAATAGCCCAGTTACCAGGTTCGCTGCAGAATTCCAACCCTTAGCAGCTGGCACTAGATGGAACGAAGCAGCAGAACATTCCTATTTCCCATGCCAGATAGAGCCAACCCAGAGGCTGTGGCCAAGCTGTGCATCATTGTCGATCACCTGGCTGAATGCCGACTAGGAAATCCAGTTTTCAACCCGCACTGGCTGACCAGCTTCAACCCTGTTGTACTGCCACAGTAAGGAACCAGTAGACCTATGCCTACACTGCGGGGAACTTGGGCACTTCATCCCGAGGTATCCCAATATGATTAATGTTCTGCCCTGATCAAGAAAGCCCCCTTCTGTCAACCAGTACCCTAGCCATGATCAGTCAGCAAGCCACCGCTGTCCAACTTCCTTTTACTTACAACATCCTGCCATGTCTGAGCCGAGGATTCCAGGAAACTCAGGGGCCTCTGACGTATTTTTGGACATAAATTTTGCTTGAACGAACAACATTCCCACACCCAGAGAGTGTCCAAGCATCAGTCCTGGGGGGCCAGCCTCAGGGACTGTCCGAGAAGCAGTGGTCCCGGGAGTGGCTGGAGCAGTGGCCCAGGGGCAGCCCCAGAAGCCATCGGGAGAATGGTCACTGGGGGGCCTTAGAGCAGTGGGCCACTCAGGCCCATCAGCCCCCACCACGGGAGCATGCCCCACCCCCAGAGTAGTGGGGCCCCAGAAGCAGAGATTTAGTCATCACGGGTATTTATAGTAAAAGTCACGGACAGGTCACAGGCTTCCGTGAATTCCTGTTTATTGCCCGTGACCTATCCGTGACTTTTACTAAAACTACCCGTGATTAAATATCACTCAAAGGAGATGCTCTCATCATTGGGCCAGGGGATCATCCAACGTTGGGCTCCCTCAATCTCTCCTGCTAAACCTGGGACACGTTGGGTGTCATTACAGAGTCCTTGGGAAAGGGGACGGGGCTCACCCCGGCAGGTGCCCCAACCCCTGGGCTGCTGAGTCAGTCTCTTCCTCTGGCCCAGTGAACATCTTCAGATGCTCCAGGCACAGAGGGGGCTTTGCTGAGGGTCTCTCCCCAGCATAGACCCGGCTTGGGGAGCAGCAGCTGTGCAGTTCGGGCTCCCAGATCCCGATGGAGAGGCAGCAGCTTATGACTTAGGCTGGAAAACAAAGAGCGATGGAGAGGGGCCTCCTCTCTCTGAGCAGGGCCCAGACCCCTCTGGCCACAACAGTTACTGAATCAACTCCCCCCCCAGGCCCTCTCTGCCAGACTCCTAACCCTGGAGGGATCCAGTGGAGCCAGGGCTGACCACAAAGTGGATGCCAGTCAGTGAGTGGTGCTGAAACCCCCGCTCCCCCAGGAAAAATTTTGACCCTGGAGTCAATCCTAAATGGGCAGAGCACCAAGACGACCTGAACCAGGCCGGCCGGAGCTTTGCCACTGACATCCAGGCTCTGGATGGGGACCAGCACTCAGTGCCCACATGGGGGAGCCAGCTGGGCGAGGGGTAAGTTGGGATTCCTGGGGGCGGGGGGCAGACATGAGGGGGGTTTGCCTAGAGCCCCAGGGACGGGTGAATCCGGGCCTACAAATCACTGAATGAACCTGTTGCCGTGGCACTGGCAGCTCCCTGACCTGAGAGCCGGGGGAGCAGAGCTGGTAGCTCCAGCCCAGGGCTGGTAGCCGCGGATGGGGGTGTGGAGACAAGAGACCGTCTCTGGCAAAGGGCTCCGTGTACCAGTTTTGTACTCGAGGGACTCACACGCTGAGTCGGACGGTGTCACCGAGAAACGTGTCCTGGGCAGCCTCTCTAGGACCAGGACCCAAACCCATCACCCCTGTGTCCATGCAGACATGGGGGGCTCTCTGGAACAACCCCCAGCCTCCATGGAAAGCCCCCTTCTCCCCAGGATCTCCCGGCTTCTTTCTCTCCCCATTGATACTGGGGCGTCGAGGCAGGAGGCCTACCTAGCGCTGGGAGAAGCTGCCCGTGCCCAGGGGAGGTGGGTCCCCAGGGGGCAGGGTCTGGGGCAGGGGCCTGCAGATCGGTGGGTTGATCGCTAGGACCCGGGAGCGGCTGGGGGGCGGATCTGGGGGGAGGATCGCGGGGCTCAGGCCCGGCCCAGGAAGTGACTCGCAGCCGCTGCGGGGACTCTGGCTCCCGGCGAGATCCCCGAGCCCCGGCGGCTGGTGCTGGGAGCCCGGAGCCCGGGCTGCAGCCGGGAGAGGGGAACCTCCAGCCGGGCCCTGCCCGCTGCTCCCCGGGAGCCTCTCCCAGGGCAGAGCCCCCAGCCCGGCCAGGGCCGTCCTTACCCTTAGGCAAAGCAGGCAGCTCCGTAGGGCACCAGGAGATTTGGGGCACTAAACTTCCGGGTGCCCTGCACAGCTGCGTGCCGCTCCAGCCCCTGCTCCGGCTCTTCCCCAGGGGCCGCGCCCCAGCCGCGCCCCCACTTCCAGAGCTCTGCCCCGGGGCCGCGCCTGCACTCGCCGGCGGTGGGAAGTGCAGCGAGCCGGCCCCAGCCGCGCCCCCGCTGAGTGGTTTCCCCCCTGCCCCCAAGCCAGCCCCGCCCCCGAGGCGTTGCCCCCCACACCCCACAGGAGGGGCTGCGTAGGGCCCCAGAACAGCTGGGGACGGCCCTGCCAGGGCCCCTTTCCCGGCCCGGCCCCTGCCCCGGGGGGGCCCCGCTCGGAGGGAAGGTAAGAGAGACCCGCCCCCCGTCACCCCCGGGCTGCTCCCCGCGGAGCCGGCTGCGATTCCCTGCCCCGGGCCCGGGAAAGCTGCCGCAGCCCCCGGTGTGCGCGGGGCGGGGGTGCAGATAAGGTGGTATTGAGGGGGAGCAGGGATGTGTGAGGGGCAGGATGGGATGGGGGCGGGGGTGCGCTGAAGGGGGATGGGGCGATGCAGGAGAATCTGGGGAGACTTATGGGGCGGATGGGAACAGGGCTGCAACAGAAGGAAACTCTGAGTGGGGGGGTCACTGCGAGGGAAACGGGGGATGTGGGGAGGGGAGGCTGGGGGAGACTGAGAGCAAGAGCAGACTGGCTGGGGAAGGGAGGGGTCGGGGAGAAGGAGAGGGAGAGATACAAGGGCAGCTCACCCACCCCATGGGGCAGGAGAGGGGGAGGGGCTGCCCCACCCAGCAGCTAGAGGGGAAATCTTTTACTGCAAATAGTCCATGATGTTTTGGGGGTCAGTGGAGGCTTCTTCCCAAAGGTTCAGAAGCACCAAGGCAAATATCCAGCCCACCCCACCCCACAGACACACACCCTGCTCCCGATGTGTTATTGTCAGATACACCCATACTGGTGTGGGGTCTGTCTCCTGAGTGTTCGGGGCTCCCCAGGGCCCTGGTCTGATTTCCCTGCAGGATTCAGATCTCGCCCACACCGGTGTCAGACCGGAGTCACTGCTGGCTCTGGCAGGGGATGAGTGTGGATGGACCAATGGGATCAGCCTCTGCCTGCCTGTCACTGCCCCTACCCTGTGTTGTGATAAAGCGACTGAGGGTTTTCCCAGCGTGGCAGAGCCCAGAGCGTCTGTCCGCAGGGAGAGAGCCTAGGGGGAATTGGGGTGTGACGTGAACTCAAGCCCTTTCTGTAACCTCCCCTCTCGCCCTGACAGGCTGAGGAATCACGTCCACATTTTGCTCCAGATCGTCCAGGGGACAGGGAAGAGAAATGGCTGTGATGGAGCCAGCTCAGGTAGGGGATTTTCAGGGAGCTGCAGGGGGGGGGGGGGGGGGGGGTTGCTGTAGAGGGGGAGGGGCAGGAAACACGCAGGGTGAGGCGGGGGGGGGGGGCAGCGTGTGACAAACCTGCTGGGAAATGATTTTCTGAACAGGCCCATGGTCAGGGGGGAACATTCCTTCATTTCTGAACCAGGAAACACCCCCCTGGGCAGGGCTGGGGAAACTGACCAGACTCCCAGTTCTGGACCCTGACCCTACTGGCCAAAGGGTGCTGTGAAATACAAAGGGAAGCTGTCAGGATTCCTGTCCCTGGCTCAGAGCTCTGCTTCCCGCATCTCCCTATGGCTGGCAAGCGAGTGGGAAATGAGAAGAGCCTGCCCTGCTCCATCTGCTGGGGAGACAAGGAGCTCTCGCCTTCTCCCACCACCTGAAGCCTCCTGGCTGCTCTGAGCAGGGTTGGGGTGGGATTCTGCTACTCTGGCTTTCCCAGAGCTTCCATTTTATTGACCTTTCTCCCCCATGAATTGTGGCTGGAGCAGCAGGTGCTGAGTTGGGGACTCTTGTTTCAGATGCTGGTGACCTTCGAGGAGGTGGCTGTGTATTTCACTGAGGGGCAGGGGGCTCTGCTGGACCCTGCTCAGAGAGCTCTCTACAGGGACGTCATGCAGGAGAACTACGAGATGGTGACCTCACTGGGTAAGGGATTCCTGTCCCCTAAGTTATTAGAAGCTGTGGGATCTGCATGTCTGACTCTAGGTTCTTCCCTGGTCAGTTGGATTCGGGGGGGAGGGTCGTGTAGTCCCCAGCTCCAGTGTGAGATAGACTTTCATCTCCATACTCCCTCCAGTGGGATGGGGGTATCAGAAATGTAAGAACATAACAGTTGCCTCAGTGTTCCCTATATTTTTTTCCCACTCCTGAGTGGAATGAATTTTGTTATGTGCACCAATATGGAGGGGATGTGTGACACATCACCTTCATGTTGGTGCACATACAAAATTCATGTGGTAGGGATAGGGCCAAGGGGTTTGGAGTGTGGAAGGGGGCTCAGGCCTGGGGCAGAAGGTTGAGGTGCAAAGCTGTGAGGGCTCTGGCTGCGGGGGTGGACTCTGGGGTGGGGCTGGGGATGAGGGGTTTAGGGCTGGGACAGAGGATTGGGATGCGAGAGGGTGAGGGCTCTGGCTGGGGGTGCAGGCTCTGGGGTGAGACCAGGAATTCTGGAGTCGCCCACACCTGTCTTCCATTCCCAATTTCCGTTAGCCAGATGTTCGCCATCACTCCAAGCATGGGGTTGCTTTCCTGACCATCTTGGCTAATAGCCCTAGCTGGACCTATTCTCTGTGAGGTTTTCCAGTTCTTTTTTGAACCCAGTTATACTTTTTTGGCCATCAGAACATACATCGACAATGAGTTCCACAGGCTAACTCTGCGTTGTGTGAAAAAATACTTCCTCTTGTGTGTATTAATCTGGTACCAAGGCTGAGGTGCAGACTACAATCAGCAGCTCTGCAATTTCATATTTTAGTTCCTTGAGAACTCTTGGGCGAATACCTCCTGAGCTTGGTTTCTTATTACTGTTTAATTTATCAGTTTGGTCTAAAACATCTTCTATTGAAACATCAATGTGGGACAAATATGGGCTTCAAAGATGTCCCCCAAAAAGAATAGCTCTGATGTGAGTGTCTCCCTACACCGTCTGCAGTGAAGACCAATGCAAAACATTCATTTACCTTCCCTACAGTGGCTTTGTTTTCCTAGAGTCTTTGTCATCTAGTGGCCCCACTTCCTGTTTGGTAGGCTTCCTCCTTCATGTGTCCTTAAAAACAAAATTACTGTTAATTTTTGTATCTTCAGCAAGTTGTTTCTTGAATTCTTTCTTGGCCTGCCATATTGTACTTTTAGAATTAACTTGCCCAAGTTTCCTATTATCCCTACCAGGATTCCCAAATTTGGAAGGATGTTTTTTTTGCCTCTAATGGCCTCTGTTTCTCTGCTATTTAGCCATGGTGGCAGTTTTTTGGTCCTCCTACTGTGTTTTTAAGTAATCTCCATGTTGCTTGCAGGCATTTTACCCTGGGGACTGCTCTTTTTAATTTTTGCCTGTCTAGCATCCTCATTCTCTTGTCGTTTCCCTTGTTAAAGTTAAATGTTACTGTGGTGGGTCCACATGCTTGTTGACTCTCTGAAAGAATTCTAATAGATTGGTGAGGCATGATTTCCTTTTACAAAAGCTGTGTTGACTCTTCCCCAACATATTGTGTTCATCTATGTGTCTGATCATTCTTTCTTTTACCATAGTTTCAACCAATTTGCCCGTACTGATGTTAGACTTTTTGGTGTATTCCCTCCTACAAGGATATTAAATTTAATTATATTACAGGTCACTTTTACTGAGCAGTTCAGCTACAATTACCACTTGGACCAGATCCTGTCCTCCACTTAGGACTAAATCAAGAATTGCCTCTCCTCTGGTGCACTCGAGGTCTAGCTGCTCCAAGAAGCAATAATTTATGGCAGTGGTTCTCAAATGTTTTTTTCATGGACCATTTGAACGTTGCTGAGGATCTCGGCAGACACTTAATGATCTTTCCGAATGTTGATTGTAAAGCTATTGTAAAGCGCTTTGGATAAAAGCGCTATATAAAAAAACCCTTACTAATTAACTGTTCCTCATACATGCATATTATCTGCACAGATAGCTCAGCTTTAAGATGCTAAACAAATCTGTGAGTCAACTAGAAATAGTCATGCTCTCATCGCAAATATTAATGCAATATTTTCTGATACTGGAAAGGAGAGTAAAAGGCATTTTGCTCAGGCTTATGCAATTTCTCTGAAATGTCCACTCTAAATTTGATTAATACTTCACACACATAGAACATTAAAAATAAGTAACAACATGACACAAAGAGCAAAACAAAATCACAAACCAGTAACAACACTGAAAATATGAAGTGAAGTAAAATATCAAGTGGTTGATGAGGGGGAGTTTAAATGATTGTTTAGGACCCACGCTGTGCAAATGCAACAGAGCCCTGTAGAAACAGGCAAAGTTCTCCTGGTTTCACATTGTGGGTGTCACCAACTCAAAAACTCAGAGTGGACTCGTTGAGTTTTTATAGGTCCTGGAGCACATTAACACATGGCTTGGAGTTTGCAGACAGATTCCTGCTTCAAAGAGCTTGCGAATAAGGTCTTTATCCTACAAAACACCTAGCAGCACCCCCACCAAACCTAGTGCTGCTTGCTACTTAAGAGTCAATGGGAATACTCTTAGGCTTAGAGCAGTGGTTCCCAAACTTTAACAACCCACAAACCTCTTTTACTAAAATGTCAAGTCTCGAAAACCCCCTCCTAAAAATGAATATTTCCAGAGATTTTCTCCCTTACCTGAGCATAAATTAGAAAAGCAGTGATCTTGGAAATATAAAATTTGGTTTTATTACATGCTTATTACACACTTAAATAGAGACTGGGAGTGGCTAAGTCATTATGCAAGGTAGCCTGTTTCCTCTTGTTTTTTCCTACCCCCCCCCCAGATGTTCTGGTTTAACTTGGATTTAAACTTGGAGAGTGGTCAGTTTAGATGAGCTATTACCAGCAGGAGAATGAGTTTGTGTGTGTATGGGGGTGGGGGGGATGTGAGAAAACCTGGATCTATGCAGGAAATAGCCCGACTTGACTATGTAAAGAGTTGTCACTTTGGATGGGCTAGCACCAGCAGGAGAGTGAATTTGTGTGGGGGGGTGGAGGGTGAGAAAACCTGGCTTTGTGCTGGAAATGACCCACCTGTTGATCACTTTAGATAAGCTATTACCAGCAGGACAGTGGGGTGGGAGGAGGTATTGTTTCATATTCTCTGTGTGTATATAAAGTCTGCTGCAGTTTCCACGGTAAACATCTGATGAAGTGAGCTGTAGCTCACGAAAGCTCATGCTCAAATAAATGGGTTAGTCTCTAAGGTGCCACAAGTCCTCCTTTTCTTTTTGCGAATACAGACTAACACGGCTGTTCCTCTGAAACCTGTTATTACACACTATTATTATTATTTATCATTACTGTATGTTTATTACATTCTGAAAATGGAAACATTCTTCCACGATCTCACTTTTGTAGGTCGTATCACTTTGATTAAGCCTGTTATAAGACAAGGCTCCTATGTTTCATCAAGGAGTATCAGATGTGAAACAGCATGAAGGGATTTAAGAAGCCAACTCAAGGAGTTCTTCCTCCACAAGCATTCAGGTCTTGAGCAGTCCAGGCAAACAACTCACATTATAACAAACCTTAAACTTGTTCTTCATAAGAATTTTAAAACAATACTAGCAGCCTATTTAATTTTAAAAACAGTTAAAAAAAATCTCCCTCCCTTTCCATTTCTTATAAGGAGTCTTGAAGTTTACATCTCAGTGTGATGGATGTGCTTGCTTTGATCTTCTTAGCTCTTGGAAGCCCCCGAAGCTCGAGGCTGCTGGCCCCATGGTGCCCGGGGTCCCTAGGGACAGCTCTGTCCGCCATTAAGGAATTTTTCCCAGAGAACGCCCTGTAACATTGTGCAACCCCCCAGGGGTTCGCAAATCCCAGTTTGGGAAACACTGGCTCAGAGGGAACTGTCCGTGGACCACCTGAATGGAGCTCACAGTTTGAGAGCCTCTGATTTATGGTGTCTAGAAATGTTGTCTCTGAATCACCCTGAGGTGACATTTATCCTGTCAATAGGAGGATGGATGAACTCACCCATTATTTTTACATTTTCTTCTGCCTCTCTGACCTCCCTTAGCATATCACAGTCACTGTCACCATCCTGGTCAGGTGGTCAGTAGCATATTCCTACTGCTGTACTCCTATTTTTCAAGCTTGGAATTTCTATCCATCATTTACAGTTGGATTCATTTTAGATATTCACCCTATTTGACTCTGGGTTTTTTATTTATCATATAATAGCACCACTGCCCCACCAGTGTGACCTACTCTATTGTTCCTATATATTTTGTACCCTTGTATTACTGTGTCCCATTGATTATCCTCATTCCACCGTGTTTCCCAACGCCTGTTATATCAATAACCTCCTTTAACCCAGGCACTCTAGTTCAGCCATCCTAGTATTTATAGACTTCTAGCATTTGTTTGTAAGCATTCATATGTATTTGTGTGTAAGCATTTGTACATTTTCTCAATATGCTTGCCGTCATGTGTTATGTTTCAATAGGACATTTTTTTGCATAACTGTTCCTCTCTAGCTCCTATCTGTACTTTGTCAACTCCTTCCCTAGCCTCAGTACTAGGGTATAGAGTCACTTTTTTAATAAATTCATTCTTAAGAGATGCTTCTGCCTGAACCGTTTCCTCCTCCGCACTTGGCCGCTTTTCCCCAGCCCTTAGTTTGAAAAACCCTCTACAACCATTTTAATTTCACATGCCAGCAGTGTGGTTTGATTTTGGTTTAGTGGGAGCCCATCCGTCTTATAGAGTCTCTTCCTTCCCCGGTTTTTAATAAAGCTAAATCCCTCCTTCCTATGCCATCATCTCATCCATGCATTGACACCCTGCATTTCTGCCTGTCTTCCTGGCCTTGCGCGTGGAACCGAAGCATTTCAGAGAATGAATTTTAATCTCTTACCTATCAGACTAACTTTGGCCCCCAGGAACCTTATCCTAACTTTCCTTTGTGTCATTGATACCTACGTACCATGACC